TTCAAACACAGACACGCAGAATATAACGATAGAAGTCAAGAACTTGACTGCACCTGACTTCAGACAGTATCTTGTTAGACTGACAACTGATTATGGATATGGCATCATCTATATGTTTGTTATTCGACAGGGGCAAGGTATTACTTACTCGTTAAAGTTTATTATCACCATTTCTATTCTTTAACAGAATTTCATGCGTGATATATATATATATATATATATATATATATATATATATATATATATATATATATATATATATATATATAATGTGTGTGTATGCGTGACAGTGTGTGTGTGTGTGTTAATTGCATGTCAATTTGAATTACTGTTACACATACATATTTCAGACCATGGCTTACAAAGTCACACAGGAAGTTTTATTTTACTGCCGCTAATTACGTCACTTGCTGTGTGCTCCTGTTTTGTTTTAATTGGCGTGACCATTTATTGCGTGAAAGGTATACACATCATTAAACAATATGTCTGCAACAAATGTAAAACGAGCTTTCCCAATTATCTAACAACAAAGAAACCTAAGAATATTGATTGTGATTAAATAATAACAATGTACGTGTGTACTCCAGCAAAATCCTGCTCCGGCCGACAAAGGTCAAGTGCCGACGCCAAGTACCCAGGGCTGTACTCAGTACCCAGCGACAACCACCTCTACCTGACGGTCGGGAGGTCGGCGACCAACGTCCAGGCGTCCACGGACAACCAGTACATCACCATCGTCGATGACGTCACCAACCTCGACGAGACTCTAGAACCACATTACGTAACAATAGATGACGTGGAGTATGTTCGTTCCAGCGATTCTCATATAGCACAACAGGACTACATCACTCCTGTAGATGGTGACCCCCTAGTTGGTCAATAATATTAGTTGTAATTTAGATGTTCTTTTTACAAGGATTTGCTTTCATTTGTTTTTCTTGCAACTTTTGATTTCATTACAATAGACATTTTTAATCGTTTAAGTACTAATTTATTCATGAAAACATTCAATCGTGTTTCTGTTTTAAACCGATTGTTTTGCATCATGTTTTTTATTTCAATAGTTACTTGTTCAATATTTTTGGTTCATACGTTTCACTATTTTTGTTTTACTAAACTTTAAATAAATAACTTATTTTTTAAAATTCATTTTAATTTGCTATATTGTAATTACTTCCCGAAACTACGCAAATGTTTATTAGCAATTTTCGTTCAAATTTCAAGTAATGTATCTTTACATTGTCTTAAGTGATAAACTAATGCAAAACGTGTTTAAGTGGGATAATCCGTCAAATTGTGATCAGATGATGAACCATTCATACCTTATAGAGAAGTCTTTGAATTATTTACACGGAATAAAAAAAACACTCAACCCGACTAACAATGATGAAAAGTGTAAGCACTTCTAAAATGTTAATAAAATGTGTTTATGTAAGTGTCATAATCATACTTATATCTAATGTCTTGAGAAAATTTATTTTCTAAAAATACATTTGAATTTCTAGCTTTTTTACAAGCTTTTATTTAACTCACTTCCTCTGTCTGTCTAGATCGAAATGCCCATGCGAAATCGCAGGCACTTCTAACTGACAGATATGGTTCGTAATTGGTACGTGGGTCAAGACATGAAAACAATGCATCGTGACATTCAATTTGACTTAATTGGTCTTAATTTTTTATGAATTAATTAAAATTTGGACGGAATTAGTAGGCAGTTCTATCCACACGCTTCATCACGGCCGTCTTGGGCGTGGAGCGAGGGGGGGGGGGGGGCTCTATGACAAAAGCACGTCATCACGTTCAATAGGCGCGCACTGGTTTTAGTCGGGCCAGCAGTCTATATCTTTACCACTAGACTACGCCATCCCATAACACTTTACTAAAACTGTAGCTATAAACTTGACCACAGACTGAACAGTATTAATGTCTTCGGTTAAAGAAGTGTTAAAGATGTGTGTTCTATGAAATGTGTTCAGCTAATTGTCTTAACGTACGTATAACTCGTTAATACTAAAAGTATAGAAATAATAAATACATAATAAATACAAATATTAGATTTCCCTAAACATTTTCTTTAACAACACTGTTATTTCAATCCTGCCTTTTTTGGCTATTTAGATCTACACGTCTATTCGACAAGTTTTGCTATAAAGAGATGCTATAAATCTTTATTACAAAAAATACAATTGATAAAAAGTGTATAAAATTTATAATTTAACGCTCTATACCAAAATCTGATTGCAAACGAAATAAGGATTTATTGATTAGGTTTGAATGACTTTTCCACTTTTCCATAATTACCTATTTGTTGGTAGCGTGTGCTTTATTTTCTAACACCTTCCATCAGTGGCGTAGGCAGGGGGAGGTTAGGGGGGATCATAACCCCCCGTAGACCCCTCGGTATATATATATATATATATATATATATATATATATATATATATATATATATATATATATATATATAAAGTATGAGGGGGATGCAAATCGAAAGTTTGAGGGGGGGGTGCAAATCGAAAGTCTGAGGGGGGGTGCAAATCGAAAGTTTGTCCCCGGGTAAAAATTGGAATCCCCCCACCCCTTGAGACTATCCTGGCTACGCCACTGCCTTCCATTGTTTTATCTGTCATTTCCAATTAATGTGAACACATCCTGGGGAGGTTGGGGGGGGGGGGAGGGGATAAGTTACAGTAAATTTAGGACCGCTGGTCTAGACATTCGCTCGCCACGTCAACCAGTCTACCCACGCGCGGAGACGGCGCTTGAATCTATTTGCTCTAATTATCTCGTTTTTACTCCACAATTAGATTTAGTGCAAGAACGTGACATGTGTAATCAATTTTAGCACAGCTATGTGTCAGCACTTTTAAATGAGACTTCACATAGTATTGGGGAATACATTTAACCGCCATAAAATTCATGTGCGAAAATAGTTGTTAACAACATGAGTTTCGATTTTTTTACTTCCTTATAAAAAGAAATCATCCACTTATTAAGTGTTGTGGGTCGAAACGTTAATTAAAACTTAACCTTAATGATACTGGTTAAACAGCTTTTCTATAGCTCTTAATTAACCAGGAAGAAAATACTTTAATTAAACAACGTCGTCTACGTCTGGGGAACAAATAATTTAACAAAAATATAAAGTTATTTCTTTACAATACACCATACTATATAATTATTACAATTGTATTATAGTGCTCAATTCCATATAAATATGTCTCGCTAAGATCAAAGTTTCAACTGCATTGGATGATTTCAAACTGACCAGTTCAAAGCGCTAAAGTTATGTTTAATATTCTTAAAATGTAAATAGACCTACATAACCATAAATAAAACATTGTTAGACCATCTGTTAATAGACCAACATAACCATAAATAAAACATTGTTAGACCATCTGTAAACAGACCAACATAACCATAAATAAAACATTGTTAGACCATCTGTAAACAGACCAACATAACCATAAATAAAACATTGTTAGACCATCTGTAAACAGACCAACATAACCATAAATAAAACATTGTTAGACCATCTGTAAACAGACCAACATAACCATAAATAAAACATTGTTAGACCATCTGTAAACAGACCAACATAAATATAAATAAAACATTGTTAGACAATACGTTAACAGACCAAGATAAATATAAATAAAACATCGTAATACAAACTATTAATAGACCAACATAAATATAAATAAAACATTGTTAGACAACATGTTAATAGACCAACATAAATATAAATAAAACATTGATTTTGTTACACCATCTGCTGACTCTATGTGAGACACAAGAGTCGTGTATTTGACACAAGGACACGCGCGTCATTTGATGAGTGCTGTCACACAGATGGTGAGTAAACTACCGCTCACGGCGATATGTGGTAGGGTTCAGCGTCAGCTTGGCTGATGAGATGGGTGGGGTGGGGGGGAGTGAGTTCATTTTGTAAGTACAGGCTTGATGTTCGAGTTACACACTACTAGAAGAACGATTACACAAAACTATAACATTCAAATACACAGTGACTTAAATGTTGAACGTTTCAGGTGTAGTTCTTGCCAACTTGAATAGCGGGACGGCGGGGTCGAGATGACATGAAAGTCACGTGTTCTGTACCCTGGCTCTAGACCACAGGTTTACCCCCTCATGTCCTCACATGGTGGCAAGATAAATGGTGATAAATACCTGAAGTAAACCCACAGGCTGTGGTGACGGTACCATCAGAAGGTGAGAAACAGTTTCTTTCAGGCATCTCTTCGGGGCAGGGCGTTCCCCCACCCCACCCTCAAAGAACGTCTACGCCCCCGAATTAATATAGAATTAATAGAATTAATATAGAAAATAAATACTTTTATGAGTGCCCCCCTCCTCCGTCCCCCGGGAAAAATTAGTCCGCCCCCCTCCAAAAACAATTTCATGCGACCTCCCCTTCCCCCCCCCCCCCCCCCTGAAGGAAACACTGGATTGAGAAATGCTCGATTGTGTCTCTTATTGCAGTCTGCCTTTCTTCTTACCGTAACTTGAGCCATTAGTTAAGCCCAAATAACAGAGATAGATTATTTTTTTAAATTAATAACAAACGAGTGTTCTAATTGTGCTGATTTGGCGGTTGACAAGGACTACATAGGGTGTTCCTGGAAAAGTCAAACATCCGTTTCATTGCCGATGGAGTTGTCTCCCCTTTTCATATGCTATTTTGATTAATGTTTGTTTTCACTAAATGGACAAGGTGAACAATACGTTGTTCTATTATTAATTAGCTTTTATCTGTAACATCTGACGTACATCTAGATCAGGGTTGAATAGCGTTCTCTCCCCTCCCCTGTACTATTTAAACTCATGTTTGCTATCATCAAACAAAGCAAAACAGGAAAGCCCTGAGGTTTAATTTTTTATTCATTAATTAACTTTTTCACCTGGACTAATCACGACGTCCGTGTCATCGGTGTTATGTCACGTGATCGAACCTATATAAGCAGACGTCCGCATCTGTCCTTACCATCACATCACAAGCAGACGATGACGCATCACGTGGTACTCACCCTGGTCCTGTCCTTGGCCTGTGGACTGGCAGACGTCAGGGCGTGTCCAGCAGACGCTGTGACCCTGGCCTGCAACATCCTGGCCAAACACAACAGCGGGAAGGTCGTACTGGCCACCGCCCATTTCTCTCGCATAACGGACAACGCCTTCGCTCTCAACAACATCCGGGACATGTGCAACGGGAAAGAGGCCAGTAGATCCAGGTGAGATGTTCAGTTGGTCTGGTTTAATTTTATAGTCTACCTGTTCAAATTCTGTTTAAAAATACAATTTGTGTTACTAGGGTGAAAATGTATCTGGGAACTCTGTATAGATATCCAGATAAATGTTGTTTCATGTAAGGTAGAATAATTTGTCAAAATTCGTACGCTTATCTGTCGAGTCGGTTAAGCTTCGTGGTTGCTAAACCGAAAGGGCTCGAGTTCGGATCTCTGAGGCTTGTTAGCTGGGGACAGCAACTCTTCTAGGAGAGACAACTCCAAACTAAAAATTTATATAAAACTGCTGCCTTGTAGTTTGTTCTGGGTTGGACAAATCCAAAAAGAAAAGCAGTCTGAAAGCGGATCGTTTATGGCGCATAACAAGTCGACACGTAATACTTACGTGTGTTGGAGTGAATCCAGGGGCTGAACTACAGTGCCGCCAGACCCCGCAATGCGGAGGGGGGGGGGGGCACGCCATTTAGGGGGGCCCACAGAAGACCATAATCAATTTTTTAATAATTAAAAAAAAAAATTTCTTTTATTTTTAACTTGATGGGTGTTTTGTAACAAGAATACTATAGCTGCAGTTGGATTAACATTATTCTATAGACACCATTCCACGTTCTTGTATATTCTTTTTCCTTTTGTTATTAAATCATTGTGAAAGAATGGCAAACGGTTAAACCACTTCCATTACTTATTTCCCTTTTTTAAATAGTCAAATAGGGGTGCTTATAAGCTCCTTTTAGTAGATTTGTACTAAACAAATTATAAACGCAATTAGTTCTCTTAATTATTGTTTTTCAAAAAATACATACTAAAGAATAATATAGCACAAAAAGGAAATGTATTTAAAATTAAGAATATAAATATAAAAAGACATTGAAATAAACAAACACGAGAACCCTAACACATATAAAGCTTTGATGGTACATATTTTTCGACCGTCTTGATAGTTTGTAATATTAAGGCAAAAATTAAATAAAACAGTTTTTCAAAACAGACTAAGCACTCACACACATGAGAAGTTGTTGTAATTTGATTTATTGAAAAAAAAGCATTTTTTTCAAAACCCGACTTATATATACATATATATATATATATATATATATATATATATATATATATATATATATATATATATATATATATATATATATATATATATATATATATATATGGAGGGGCCAATAATTTGTTTTTGCGGGGTGGCCCTTTTTTTCTAGTTCTGCCACTGAGTGAATCCCTACAAAAAAAAGGACGAAGAAGTCTGACATTTTATTACACTATATATATATAGGTAACAATAATTTGTAAAAATCCGTGTACGGATCTGACAATTTTTCCTGAAATTCAGGTAAAAGTTGTGTTTTTATATATTTGAATAATTTTAAATTCACGTTAAAATTCGATAAACCAATCTGACGATATTGAGGTAAAAATTTTGTTTAGGTAGAATAATTCGTCGAAATGTTCCATCTATCTTACAATTGAATTAGGTATTCAGGTAAAAAGGTTTTTTTATTCGTATCTATGGGTCCATACTCAGAAATGTGTCTTTAGAAAATTTGTTGGTAGAATGATGAGACAATCCCCATCATTCCATGTGTTCTTGGCCGTGTGTCTCATGTCCCCATACAAATTACCCTTTTTCCTCATACTGCAGTATCTTCTGGCATAATTCTGATCTATCAACCGCCATATTTTTACAATCACTTCTGAAGTGGCTTCAATCTCTATTTCTCTACGTCGTTTGAAATTAAGTTTTATAATTGTTATACAAAGATACAGTCTGTGTCTAATTTCAATAATTCAATGGTTGTGCTTGCCTCAATTATTCTAAGCAGTTTTTTTTTTGTCCATAGTGTTTATAATCTACTTCACTAGTATAATTTTACCGCGAAAGCTGTGCCACAACTTAGCCAACCACACAATGTCACTGATAAATCTCAAACACAAATACATTAACAGTACAATGCAACCGACAAATCTCTCACACAAGCATAAACAGCGTGACCGATACATCTCACCCACAAATACATTGACAGTACAAACTAAACGATAAATCTCGCCCACAAATACATTGACAGTACAAACTAACCGATAAATCTCGCCAACAAATACATTAACAGAACAAACTAACCGATAAATCTCGCCAACAAATACATTAACAGAACAAACTAACCGATAAATCTCGCCCACAGCTACTCATGCAGTGAATGTAAAACTAAGCCTGCACCAGGTGGAACTGTCTGCATCTCCTCCAAGGTCCTGACCTACCTGTCTAACCTCATAGACAAAGGTACAGTGAAGGTGGGTAAGATTTAAACAATCAACTCTACAGGCAGTGACTAGGTGTGTAAAGACGAGCCTGCTGTACCCTTGTTGTGATTTACCTCAGCTCCACCAAATGTTCAAGGACACATTTAATAACGATGATAATGGGGATAATGCAGTGGCGTAGCGAGGGGGGGGGGGCGGGGGGGGGGGGGGGGCGGGGGGACATATGTCCCCGGGCGCCGACCTTAGAGGTGGGGGCCCGGGGGGGCGCCAAAATGGGTTGGAGAAACAAAAAATTGAAAGTTCGGGAGGGGGTGGTGCAAATCAAACGTTTGAAGGGGGGGGGGGTGCAAATAAAAAGTTCGAGGGGTGGTGCAAATCGAAAGTTTGTCCCCGGGCGCTGGTAAGGGTCGCTACGCCTCTGGGATAATGGTAGCGTTAGTCATGATTAAAAGGAGAATGAAAATGATACAAATTATGTTTTTTGGTAGACTGGATTTCTAACCAATGTCTTCATCAGGTGAATGAGATAGCAGGTGCCTGTCACAGCTGTACGTCCAAACACTACTCAGGTACCGCAATTGACCTGGACGATGGACCAAGAGATGCTGAGTACATGACGGCCTGTCGGTAAGTGGGTTGGTCTAGTGGGTTGGTCTAGTGGGTTGGTCTAGTGGGTTGGTCTAGTGGGTTGGTCTTGTGGGTTGGTCTAGTGGGTTGGTCTAGTGGGTTGGTCTAGTGGGTTGGTCTAGTGAGTTGGTCTAGTGGGTTGGTCTAGTGGGTTGGTCTAGTGGGTTGGTCTAGTGGGTTGGTCTAGTGGGTTGGTCTAGTGGGTTGGTCTAGTGGGTTGGTCTAGTGGGTTGGTCTAGTGGGTTGGTCTAGTGGGTTGGTCTAGTGAGTTGGTCTAGTGGGTTGGTCTAGTGGGTTGGTCTAGTGGGTTGGTCTAGTGGGTTGGTCTAGTGGGTTGGTCTAGTGGGTTGGTCTAGTGGGTTGGTCTAGTGGGTTGGTCTAGTGGGTTGGTCTAGTGGGTTGGTCTAGTGGGTTGGTCTAGTGGGTTGGTCTAGTGGGTTGGTCTAGTGAGTTGGTCTAGGGGGTTGGTCTAGTGGGTTGGTCTAGTGGGTTGGTCTAGTGGGTTGGTCTAGTGGGTTGGTCTAGTGGGTTGGTCTAGTGGGTTGGTCTAGTGGGTTGGTCTAGTGGGTTGGTCTAGTGGGTTGGTCTAGTGGGTTGGTCTAGTGGGTTGGTCTAGTGGGTTGGTCTAGTGGGTTGGTCTAGTGGGTTGGTCTAGTGGGTTGGTCTAGTGGGTTGGTCTAGTGGGTTGGTCTAGTGGGTTGGTCTAGTGGGTTGGTCTAGTGGGTTGGTCTAGTGGGTTGGTCTAGTGGGTTGGTCTAGTGGGTTGGTCTAGTGGGTTGGTCTAGTGGGTTGGTCTAGTGAGTTGGTCTAGTGGGTTGGTCTAGTGGGTTGGTCTAGTGGGTTGGTCTAGTGGGTTGGTCTAGTGAGTTGGTCTAGTGGGTTGGTCTAGTGGGTTGGTCTAGTGGGTTGGTCTAGTGGGTTGGTCTAGTTGTGTGTGTTCTAGTTGTGTGGGTTGGTCTAGCGGTTTGGTCTAGTTGTGTGGGGTTTTTTAATCATTTATTTTCTACTTTTTAGTGCATTATTACATAAAAGCTTGTTATTATAACGTTTTATACAATATTTGTTTTCATTACTTTAACATTCCAAATAAACAGGAAATATACGTGTATAACAGCGCGGTACATTGTACTTTATATAGGAAATTTTAATTGATTCACAAAAAATTAAACAGGCATCCAATTAAGTCAAATCAGTAAGATTGCGTGTCTTCGGGTCTTTAAACAAGTGCCAAGTTTGAAACGAATCGGTCAGTTAGAAGTGCTCGAAATTTCGCTCGGCAGTTTCGATGTATGACGAAAAACATAAAAAAAGACAGACAGATGAACCAAGTTAATTTAAATAAAAGCTTGTAAAAATAGCAAAGCTGGTCTAATGACAAATATCTTGTTATATCCACAGCAACATAGGAGGCGTGGCTATAGACGAAGGCAACCACATCCACTGCCAGTTTTAAGCTCGTTTAAACAATCGCTGCAATTTATTTTTACTATTAAATATGCTATACCTTTTTGTTAAATTAAGCTGTTATTTACACACACAAAAACAAAAATACCACAAATTAACAAAACAATGACAACAATTTAGATGACCTCCCTTAACGATTGCATCTAAACAAAACTGATGATACATTCATTATACATTTATCTTTTCAATAAAATGTTTTTTTTTTTAATTGATTAGCTGTTAAAAAGAAAATTATTTCCTTAAAGTTTACAAAAAAGATTCAATTCGTTCTGCACATATTTGTGAGCTTTAGAAATAATTGTGGGAATAAGATCATCAGAGTTTCTTCCGGGCATCTCTTCGGAGGGGGGGGGGGCTGAGCCCCCACGAAAAAAGTCTACCGCCCCCCCCCCCCGAAGAAAGTCTACCGCCCCCCCCCCCCCCCCCCGAAAATTTCAAGTGCACCCCGACGAAAAAAGTCTGGAAGAGACACTGAAGATCATTTTAGAAAAAAAAATAATGCTTCATGCATTTTCATTAGATGCGGTTGTAAAACAATATGCTGTGTCGACTACTTTAGTCAACACGGATTTTTCATTTTAAATAGCAAAATTTGGCAAAATATAAAATCAAAGGCATGGTAATACATTGGCGTCGGTGCTATATATTTCCTCGTATCTGTTGCTTATAGCTCCCCACAGTAACACGACGTGGTCCATAAAGGGCCGACTACATCTTTAGTAGGTAACGTTACAATACGTTTTCAATCTGTTGGATGATGTAGGGCAAAAAATGGTTAAGAATACAAACAGTGATTTTCACTTTTTAATCTACATGTGTTTATGTAAGTCAAACTTCTTAAAAGAAAACTATCACTTCAGTTAACTGTGGATATTTGTTTAATCGTACAACATTGGAATAGATAAATATAGTTGTCTCATTTTTATTATTAGGCAGTGCTTATTGAGGCCAACAATAGAGAAAATACGTAAGGTGCTTATATCCTCTCACATGTGTTTGTGGAAATTAAATCTAAGCTTATTTCCTCTCAAACGTGAGATTATACAGTCATGCACAGTGTTTATTTGCTTGACAGGATGAGAGAGGACGCACTGATGTATAACTTTTACATTAGCAGCGCAGTAGCTGACAACATTTAAAAAAGAAATACAAAACATGAAGAAGTCTAGCCTCCGTCAGTCAGGAGTAAAAACTGTGTGAATGCAAGTTTCTTTTGTTCTACATCTGTAGTGAAGTGTCTATAAATTTAACATACATTCCCATGTCTAAAGGACAACATAATATCGTCGGCAAAAATATACATTTAGTAACAAACTCTAAAGCCCAAACACTAAAATAATCAAGCAGTCAATGCTTCAGTTTCTGTATTATCGCCTTGAAGGCGTCAAAAACGTACGTCAAATCACAGAGTATAAACAGCGACCCCACCAATGACAGGAAGACGACCCCGACCCCTCCAATAAAGTTGGACGTGGGTCTGGTGTCAGGGATGGAGATTTTAGTCCTGATGTAGGCCGAGGTGGTCAATGGGTCGACCAGTAAATCCCTTCTGATGCTCTCGACAATCTCAGAGGTTTCGACCTCGGTCAGACCTGGGGAGATGGACGCTGGGGTCGGCTCCAGGGTTAGGGTCGGCTGTAGGGTTGGGGTCTGGGAGCTGGTTGACAAGGGCATGAAGCCAGTTGTAGAATAACTAGACGAGGAACTACTTAATAAATTGTCTGTTCTAGACGACAAGTATGATGGACTTAAGGTCATGGACGATGGTGACTGTAAACATATGTTCAGCGTGCTAGTTAGTGTGTTGGTCAGTGTGTTGGTCAGTGTCCTGGTAAGCGTGCATTCAGTGGATGGATGCAAACTGCTGGATATTGCCGTGTTAGATATTAAGGAATTCTCCGGATGAGATGAACTTGGGCAGAGATTAATTGTACTTGTCATTGTATTCATCATTGTTGTGGTCAATTTGCTGACGACTGTGTTGGTCAGTGTGCTGGTTAGCGTACACCAAGTTGATGGAATAAAACTACTGGACATTGGGTTGTTGAAAAGTGTTGAAAAACTGGACGGCTGAAGAGAGCTTGGGCAGATGGTCAATGTCGTGGTCAGTGTGCTAACTAGTGTGTTCTGCTCGGTGCTGGTTGCTGAGATGGTCAGTGACTGGAGACTTGATAATTGTGAACTCTGGACACTGGACTGTGTTGAACTAGCCTTAACTGACGGTGACGGGCAAGTTGTTGTTGACATTACTGGGTCGGGCTGTAGTCTCTGGACGTAGGTCCGTAGTTGGTTGGCCTGGGTGGAGGTTTAGATAGGTAAATTTTAGGTTTATATGGAGGTTTATATATGCAATTGGTAGGTTTGTGTGGAGGTTTAAAAATGTAATTGGTAGGTTTGTGTGGAGATTTATATATGTAATTAGAAATGTAATTGGTACGTTTGTGTGTAGGTTTAGATAAGTAATTGGTAGGTTTATGTGGAGGTTTAGAATTGTAATTGGTATGTTTATATGGAGGTTTGGACATGTAATAAGGTAGGCATGTGTGGAGGTTTGGAAAGGTAATTGGTAGGTTTATGTGGAGGTATGGACATGTAGTTGGTAGGCCTAGGTTGATGTTTAGATATGTAATTGGTAGGTTTGTATGTGTCAGATTTAACTAGTTATTTAAATCGCTGTATTATATTTTTAAAAATCTTACTACATCAAGTACCCAAACTTCAATCGGTAACTACTCAATTACCAACAACCCGTTTGCTATTTATTAATACATCTTTATGAAACAAAAACCAATTAAAATATTCAAGATAAATAAAATTAAGAAATGAATGATTAACACAAATGAATATTTTGTACTTACCCCAATGGCTTTTGGATATTCAGAGGCGCCCATTACGTGACAAAAAGAATAGCTGCCATTGGTTGCATACACGTATGCAACAAATTTGTCGTTCCCTGGGTTTATTTTCACCTGGTAGTGTTGGCCCACGGAGATGTTTGTGTAGGTACAGCCTGTATACCTGGTACCTGCTGGGTATAAAAACATACAAAGTGTATACCATTTAACTGTAGGGTATAACTGTATCAGATACAAGCATACGACACGTGTACAGTGTTTCTTCCAGACTTTTTTCTCTCGGGGGGGGGGGGGGGGCACTGGAAATTTTCGGGGGGCGGTAGACTTTCTTCGGGAGGGGGGGGGGGGCGGACACTGTTAAAAGTATATTTTTCTATATAAATTATATACTTATATACATTTCATTTCGTTCGGGGGGGGGGGGGGGTCGGTAGAATTTTTTCGGGGGGCCCGAAGAGATGCCTGGAAGAAACTCTGCAAGTGTACCTTCTACCAGAGGGTATGCAATTATACAACACGTGTACCGATATCTGAACGAAATATATATATATATATATATATATATATATATATATATATATATATATATATATATATATATATATATATATATATATATATATATATATATATATGGTTCCATGACAAATGATCCCAGGACAAATGATCTCAGACAAAATATCTCAGACAAAATATCTCACGGACAAATGATCTCAGGACAAATGATCTCAGGACAAATGATCTCAAGGACAAATGATCTCACGGACAAAAGATACCAGGACAAAATATATCAGGACAAATGATATCATGGACAAATGATCTCAGACAAAATATCTCAGACAAAATATCTCACAGCAAAATTTTAATAGTATGTACGATGATTTTAGTTGATTTGAATTTTTTTTTAATTGACTGTCAATATGGTTTTGTTTACTCTTTGTACTCATAATAATTGATTGTTATAAAATGAATTTGTTAAACTTAACAAACAAATGTGAATGGGTCTTCAGGTTCGTAACTTAAAACTGGTGTTTTAATGCATCATCAACAAAAAAAAAAATAAAGTTTACGTTACTTTGCTACAGGTACATCGTTATGATCACGCATTTCCAATACTATGTGTGAACTTTCGCTGTAGCCTACATGTTCTTACTTGACATTTCCAAATCTCTTTGCCTGCTGCTCTACTTATGGCTTTTATAAACAGAAATTTATTAGAAACTTATGCCCTATACCCTATCTGCGAGGTAACGAAAGAGGCCTTAGCAGTGTAACCACCACTAATACTGCTTCGTTTTCTTGTACGCTACGACAAACTTCGCTCCACGATGACCGCTGTCGTTTAAATTAGCATTTGTCACCTGATCACTAAGGTGTGACCGACGCATAACAATTGACTTTGGATGCTAGTTGTATTCCAATAAGGCATGTCTCTGCCATCAAAGCGGGCGGCCACCTTGATTCCAATGTGTGTCTTTATTGTTATTTTATTCCCTTTGATCTAATTTCGTCCACCTGACGTGGTAGGATTGTCTCATGTTTGTCAAGCCCACCTACGGTGTCTATCAAAAAAGTTTCTTTAATCTTCGCATATTGTATTAGTAATCTTAATTTTAAATGCTTAGTACAATATGTCAAATTTATACGGCAAACATTTCTTACAATTATTTTATAGGCCTATAAACAATATGAAACATAGTAAACAAAACTATATTGACAGTCAATTAAAAAAATGTTCAGATCAACTAAAATGATCCAATACACTTTTAAAATTTTGCTGTGAGATATTTTGTCTGAGATATTTTGTCTGAGATCATTTGTCCATGGTATCTTTTGTCCTGGTATCTTTTGTCCGTGAGATCATTTGTCCTTGAGATCATTTGTCCTGAGATCATTTGTCCGTGAGATATTTTGTCTGAGATATTTTGTCTGAGATCATTTGTCCTGAGATCATTTGTCCTGTCACCATATATATATATATATATATATATATATATATATATATATATATATATATATATATATATATATATATATATATATATATATATATGCATATATGTGTTTGATTTTGTCTGTGTATGTGCGTGTATCTGTGTATGTGTGATTTTCGGTGTGTGTGTGTTTCGGTTTGTGTGTATGTGTGTGTGCGCGCGCGTGTGTGTGTGTGCGTGTGTGTGTGTGTGTGAGAGAGAGAGAGAGAGAGAGAGTATGTGTGTGTGTTTCACGAACGAACTCCAACCTGTGATATTCCGACAAGCCGGGTCCCCCACCGCAGGTAAAAATTCGATGCTGTTGTACTTGTCTGAGCTAGCTATGACGTACACAGTTACTGTAAACTCTTTAAAAGCCGCGTCCACCTCAAATGTGTACCTAGTCCTCCATAAATGACTTGATAGTAGCAATGTACTACAGGAGGTCTGTTGAGAGGCTGGTAGATCGGAACATTCAAAAATTAAATTAGGGAGAAATATAGGATAATATATATATATATATATATATATATATATATATATATATATATATATATATATATATATATATATATATATATATAGTCAACGCCTATGTATTTGTATGATTAATCTTTCCAAAAGCATTTTTTTCTAAATAAACAAAATATTATCGTTCACTTTGACAGCGCCAGGATCAAGAAAATTAAATGAGCTAGTCGATGAAATATGGGTATCAGGTATGGAAATAACTGTTATGGGGGGGGGGTCTAATGCACATTACCCGTCCGTGTCTTGTACAAGTAAAATCCTGCATTACCGCTGACCGAATAAAATGCTGATCTCGGCAGCGAAAAATCAATAACCTGGCCAATGTAGCTAGACGTAACCAGACTGCCGGGTTGTCCTGTTTGAACCTAGAAAAAGAAGGTAGAACCTGAAGTGTAGGTGCAGTATTGTACGTTTAATTCTCTGTTATTTAGAATTCGTATTTCTAAAAATGTTGTTTATTATCAATAAAATAATGTTATTTAAATATTATATTGTGAAATCTGAACTTGTCACTATTAAAATCGAAACTTTTTAACAATCTATATTTAATGAAAGATTAATTAAATTGATGCAAAATAAATTGTTATAATTGGAAACCTGTATGATATCAACATCGAATTTGTTTAAAATGAGTTACAATGAAGCTGTGTTTGATTTTAAATTTCAAAATATGTTTTTAATTTAGGAAAGTAAAGATAAACAATTATTTAATTTTATACTGCGGTAAGCCAAAATAAATCGTGGCTTATTTAAGCAGTACCTGCTTACAAACGTAAAGAAATTTAGAAAGTCAATGCTATAAGTTTTTTAGATTTGTTATTTTACTGGTCAAAACTTGAATGAATCCTTTTATAGCCACTACTATTTGATTAGAATTTTTTTTTAAAATATTTATTTTTATAACATAAAGTACAGCAATAATGTATAAGCATGCTGTGTTTTTAAACCACCTCAATGCCTGTTTTATTTAGCCTACCGTTATTTTATTGTTTTGACTGATGCAGATGATTCTATACGTATCATTGATGTTGCTTGAAATCTGACCCGATGGAAAAGTAAAGTATCCGACGTATCCATCACCAACATACTCCACTGGTAGAAGCTGCGTTAGTGTGTAGTTTGATCGTGTGTCGTTGTCCTGAAATAGATGCTGTTTTAGTGTGTATTTTTATCGTGTGTCGTTGTCCTGAATTAAACACAGAGATTTCTTTCTGTTCATGTATTAGTATAGATTTAAGGAAAATATTATTATTGAGACACATGGGCAGACCACAGCTAAACAAACAAGATCCATGAGCTGAAATGTGGAAACACTGAGCTAAGCTTATAAGACTGAGCTAAGCCTATAGTAACACGGAGCTTAAAACAGATGACAACCGTGGAAGATCCCCACCCCATTCTGTGACGACAGGTTTGTTTATTTCCTGCAACTACTGAGTTACCCTATCAGACATGGCCACCTTTAGGACAATGCTGTCGTTTATCTGTTTCTCCTATATCGGTATGTGAGGAATAGTGTGGTCTGTTCAAGACTAAGTTTTATTTTACGTGAGATAGATAACCCTCAAAGCTATGTGGATACATGGAAGCCCATAGTTTCTTTCAGCATCTCATGATGCACGACCGCTGATTGCTTGTACTTACAAGAGTCTCAAGAAACACGACCGCTGGTTGGCTGGAAGTGAGAAATGAGCCGCTGAGATTCCCAGACAAGCTGATGTTGTTGGTAACGTTGACGTTTGCCATCGGCACCCAGGCGTACTGCACATCACTAAAATAAACACATACAATTGAACTGGCAAATGTAAATAAATTATGGAAGTTTATACAAATATTGGCGACAATTTGACGTAAGAAATATGAAAACAAAATGGTTGCATTATAACTCAAAAATGTTTCTTCAATAG